GCAACGCCGCGTCTGATCCTTCCTCAGATCACCATGCTGAAGTCCACCCTCAAAGAGGTAAGGCGGGGCTCAGGCAGCTGGTGTCCGGCCACTGTCACCCACTCTGGTCCCACCTCACCCATCTCTTCTCGTGCACTGAGAAGACCCCTGGTCTGGCCCCAGGCCCAACAAGTGACCACCAGGATCTCTCAGGCCTCCTGCTCCACTGTGGTCAGTCCCTAGAGGCCTGGGGACACATGTCATCAGAATTCAGGAAACAGACCTTTGGTGGGGAGATTCTTTTATCATCCTCCAGTACCCACCCTCCTTCCTGGGCCAGACACAATTAGGTGACCCAACTGCCAGAGGCAGTCCCACAGTTTTTATTTTTTGAAACAGGGTCTCATTCCGTTGCTCAGGCTGGAGTGCAGTGGCTCGCAGGTGCTCGATCCCATAGCTTCACTCAGCCTCAACTCCAGGCTTTAAAGTGGATTCCTTCCCACTCAAGCCTCCTGAGTGCTGGGACTAGCAGGTGCAAGCCTCATGCTCAGGGCTATAGTCCTACTTTTTTTTTTTTTGGATGGACTCAATGGGTCTCACGTCTGGGCCCAGGCTTGGGTTGAGTGCAAGGATTTTGGCTCCCTGTAACTACGCTCCTGGGTTCAAAGGCAACTCTCCTGCCTCGCCTCTGAGTCGCTGGGATTACAGGTTCTGGCCACCTGCCAGCTAATTTTTTTATATTTTTTAAGAGATGGTTTCACCATGTTGGCCAGGCTGTCTCAAATCCTTGACCTTCAGGCGATCTGCCCGACTTGGCCTCCGAAGTGGCTGCTTTGCAGGACAGGAGCCACCGTGCCAGGCCTAGTTCTCACTTTTATAGGCTCCCCAACACACAGCAGGAACATCTGGCTGGCCTCTTCTCTCCGACCCATCGCGCAGTGGGTGTGCTGGCTGTAGGTGGGGGTGGCTGTGCCCGGGTTCCTGGGAGGCCACCTGGGATTTCCTGGTCACTTACCCGCAACAACACCTGGGCCTTGCAGGTCCTGGGTGGTTCACAAAGGAGGAAGCGCACCTGTGGCTGGCGGTTGCCTGTCAGAGGGCCAAGGCAGGCAGGGGCCTT